ATTTGATGTACTCTGGATTCATGCTTGGTAGGCTACGAACCACAGTCTTGAATGGTTTTCCGCAGCAACATCGTGAGTGAAATACTCAGCGTTGCATCTGTCCAAATACGACTTGGTGCTGGTAAAGTCGTCGTGGGTTCTGAGAATGACCTTGATTCCGATCCTGCATAGTTTGAATTTCGCATAGATTTTCATCGAACGGAAATCTCCAGCCAGTTTGTCCAACCTGATTGATTTGACAACAATCGGTGGAAGTTTCACCCGAGCGTTAGCGGCAGGGGCTTCTGGCCCAGTTTTGCCTTATTTTTCGCCGAATCCGTTGAGATCGCTCACATTGACTGCCGTTGCATCGCTCAACGGTACAATCAGGGAAACAAGAGATTTCTTATTCAGATCGATGAGTGATTTTAACAACTTCGAATACATTAGTTCACATAAGTCTAACAATAATATTTAATCCGAATCAGTAGGATTTACGAATTAGTATTCCACATCACACCTCTACAAACAGGAAACAGGAAACTTCTCGGAACATGTTGGTTTAGAATTATCATGTGACATTATGAATTTTGGTCCGAGTCGAAACTGTCGGCATCCCCGGGGGTACCCGGAACATTCCAGATTTGATTATTGTGATCCTGGGCCCTTAATATAGCGGCCATTGAACTAGGTTTTGAATTCCCATGTAATTTGAGGTGCCGCGGTGCCGCACGATAGGTTTTAGTCCAAGCTAGAAACTGGACACTTCCCCGAGGGTCCCGGAACATGTCCGAGTGTGGCCAATAGGATCTAGGGCATTCAATAAAGCTTCCATTGATCATGTTTTCGAAATTTCAAGTGTTTTGATGTGTCGCATGATGTGTTTGGCACTTTTCAGGCAATTTCTTATTTACAGGCCCGTATTCATCGGAACACGAACACGACACATGATGATGTATGATAGCATGATAGTGGTTTACCACCGATTGTAGCACGGAAACTAAGTCCGATAGCGGTGGACTCTCTTATCTGTTTGTCCTGATCAAGCTTAATAACCTCTGATTGTCCTCAACACGTCACTGTATGAAGGGCCAAAAACGGATTGGAATATGCCCCAATGAGTGGGGAGAAGAGCCCGCCCTTTATCCACGAAATGTTATCAAAAATAAAAATAACATAATCCTAGGCGCATTTTCCCCAGAACTATCACCCCTATTCTGTATTTCGTTTCGAACGAAATTCTCATACAAAAAAATATTTTTTTGTATGAGAATTTCGTTCGAAACGAAATACAGAATAGGGGTGTATATCTCAAGCAATTTATTAAAAAATGTAGAAAACGCCATTTTGAAAAAAAAACCTGCTAAAAATGACCTAATTTTAGAACAAATGTTGATGATTGTCCATAACAATCAATTATGTAAAATTTCATGCAAATCGGAAAGGTCGAGTAAAAAATTCATCAATTTTATGCTATTTGGCCTGGAGTTGCTCATATGCTTCTTTGGACCTCCCTTGGAATCCTCCTGGTTAAGGAACTCTATCGGAATGCCGCTCAAAATTCCTTTGGAGAATTTCTTCATCGAAATTCTCTATGTCATACCACAAATCGTGAATATATTCTTCAAGACCAAGATTTTTTTTAATTTTCCAAGTTCCATTGATATTTGTTATCAATTCTGGAACATTGGAAAATTTTCGATGTCTGATATCTGAAACTTCATTCTAGAATCTTGAAAATTTCTTCAATATTGGATTATATTTTTGATTTTAAACTCTACAATTATGATTTTATTTCGTGTTTCAGAATTTGACTCATGATTTAGAAATATTTCATTAGTCTCGTATCTTAATTAATTCAATATAAAAATTTCTAATGCAATTTCAATGCAAACCTTCTATTTAGAAAATTCATACAACTGTCAAATTAAGTCCAGACTTCAAAAAAAAAATACTGTTATTTATAATACCAGAGAGTCATAGCTTTCGAGATCACGCCCATAAAAAAATATTCCTTGTAGGTAGGTAGGGTTAACTACCCCATTTCCGGCCTAAGAAGCACAACCCGCACTTAGACTTTCTTAATCCAGCGTAGTTTAGCACCAAACGGAATGTTATTATCACTGATGGCTTCCAAATTTATTTACCTTTCCGTACGTACCGTAAGATTTGATAAAGAAATACAAATTGTTGAGATATTGTTAAAAGTCTAACACTGCTTCTTGACGCCAAACTCGGCTTACAGATTCTAATCTCGGCCTAACGCTTTGAAACGTCAATGAATTCACTTCGGCCTATCGGATAAAGATAAAGATTGATTCGGTCGGAGCGCTTCATTTGTTTTTAATAATATTGGGTGCAAACATTCATATCACGCGTTCTTATTAACTTCGTTCGGTAGCATTTGATCTAAAGTATCGTACCAAACGCATAATTGTCCTGTTAACGCCGAAATCATGGATTTATTTGATGTTGTCTGCTTGATAGGCCCAAAATGGGCGCTTAGGCCGAAGTAGTTCTCTACCCTAGTTGGATAATATAAAATACAAAATTGTTTCAAGATTCTTGAACTTACGAAATTTTCATAATTCTGCAAATTTATTAAGTAACTGTATTAAGGCACAGAGAACGGACATCCAAGCTTAAACAAATTGTTCGAAAAATTATGTGTAAGAAATCAAATTAAAATACGTTAGAAACACTTGCGGGATGGTGGGACTCGAGTGATCTCTTTTTGGGATTAATGAGTAAACTGAACTAAAATTTGGGTTGATCTTATTGACCGTGTATCGAAATGAACTGTCAAATCAGTTCAAAACAAACAAGACAAAACAACGGAAATAAATCGAGTTTCTGCGGAACCATTATTTTCGAATGAAAAACTAAGCTCTTTCCTATCCTAAGTTTCCTGTAGATCTACAACCGTTTTTCGTTCCAATTTTAACTGGGCATAGTAGTCAGGAGCAAAACTGACTTTTCTTGAGTTCACTTGCGGCGTATCTTCAAATGATTCAGTGAGTATGAACTCCAATTAGCCCTCATTTAAATTCAGAAAAAAATGTGGTAAGATTTGAACACTGCCCTGCATCCGTTCTTGCAGGAATTCGAAAAGCCTCCGGGGGGAAGTGGTCGGAACATAACCTTTCCGTTGCAAACACTTGGAGTCCACGTGAGAAGAAAATCTCCTGTAGTTTGGGCAATTCAGGATCCTTAGGAAAATTGTGAAAAGATTTTCGCTTGGTAACACCTGGTCTATTTGCGAACCAATAAAACTCGCACTTGCGGCCCATGTTTTGGTCGGTTTTTAACAAACAATGTTTTGCTCACAACAATTTCGACATCATGTTAAGATGACGTCTGCCGGTCATCGACGTCGATGGGCAGCGACACTAGCGCCACCATGATATTGCTAATTTCAAATGTCTAAATTTCTTTCACACTTTAGGAATATGACTTGGACGTTTGTTCTCTGTGATTAAGGGGAGCATTTTCCCTGTATCGCTCTCTTTTATGATTGTATGATTAAGAATGATGAAAGACCTCCAACCCATCCCCACCCTCTCCAACTTGAATAGGAGCGGCGAAGACATGTGGATACCATTTTTCGATTTCGTTGAAGACTTTTTCTTTAAACACCTGGCACCTATGATTGGATAACAACTTCTATCATCAAACTTTGCGACGATAATAACAAGAAATGTGATTGCATAGGCATTGTTATCGAAACAGAAAGTCGATGAACAGAATCGATCAAAGCTGATAGGACCTTTTGAATTGTTCGTCTAGCTTTGTCTTCATATAATTATGATTTTTCATCGAAATTTTGTACATTTTTAGATGACATGAGGTAGGAAATTAATCACATGCACTTGTTTAAAAACTGAAATTAGTCACCTTTTCTTGTTTATTTACTCCACTATCCGTCTATATGCCTTCCATCGGGAATATTACGTTTGGAACGCACGTTAATACTCCATTTTAAATGGATTTCACTGTAGCGACCGACAACACACCCTAAACGAGTTAATAGTTGTATGCTAATTAACTTTGCGCGACCGAATTTTGCATGCTCTTGATGTGGCACCGCCACTCCTAAACAGTCCTTCTACTAATCTCTACCCGAAACGTATACTGAAAAGCAATGTTGCTCCAAGTCGATTCTACCGAGAAATGCATCCTAAAGTTCAACAAACTAGGTGAACCGAAAAAACTACACTCTTCCAGGCTCAAGTTCAAGGATGTGCCAAACTACCAACTGCCAGGGGTTATTATCAAGGTATTTCGATAGATCCGTACTGATTCGTCTTCGACCTTCGCAACCATTTGCTTTTTTTTTTCTCTTCCTACGAATCGAGACCGGACATACGTTTGTGCCACCTACATACTCAAAGGCTCGCAGCGGGACGTCCGTGTTCCGCTCTAATGGAGTGTTCATGTCTCGGGGAAAGCTTTTACTCCTTCCCACGGTTTGAATGTGTCGAAATAGAATGTTGCTTCGGTCAAGCAGTTCCAGCGTGCGGTAGTCCCAACCTCCGTCGTTGTCATCTTCGCCGCTCGTGGTCAGTCTGAAGTAGATAACGGTTCGGATATGACCAGCTCCTCGGTGGTGGAATCCTTGGTGCAGCGAGTGGTCGAACGGAATCTAGTCTATGTCAGTCCGCAAGTATTCGATCGCGGAGGGCGGGATGTAGAATTTCCCGGTGGTGATGGTGAGGTGGTGTACCAATATGGGATGTACGACCGAAGCTATGGAAGGTACTGCCAGGAGAATCCGCTGGAGAGTTACTACTACGGCAGCTACGAGTATCAGTGCCCTGTCCATGCGAGATATCTGCCGCAGATTCCGCTTAAGAAGTACTTCACACCGGAAGGGGAATACATCTATCGAGTATGGCGTGATTAGTTTTGAAACGATTATGTTTCAAGCGATTGTGAAATGTGGCCAACTGACCTATAAATTCTATTTCCTTGTCCTATCATAAAATCCAACGTTGAATTAACAATTGTTCTTCATTTTCCAGCTGGGCGAAAAGGGCAGTGGCTTCCGTACCCGTACCGACGTCCAGGATTTCTACGTCCTTCGCAATCAGTGCCTTGAGAATGGTTCCCTGTTTGAAGATCCGGAGTTTCAGGCCGTTTCCTCATCGTTAATGTTCTCGCGCCGCCCCGATCGGCACTATGAGTGGCTCCGTCCGCATGAGATCAGCGAAAACCCAGAATTCTTCGTGGAAGGATTCTCCCGGTTTGACGTTCAGCAGGGTGAGCTGGGAGATTGCTGGCTTTTGGCCGCTTGTGCAAACTTGACTCAGGATCAGAAGATGTTCCTCCGGGTGGTCCCAGAGGATAATAGCTTCGAAGAGGACTATGCCGGAATTTGCCACTTCCGTTTCTGGCAGTACGGACGGTGGGTGGATGTGGTGATCGACGATCGGTTACCTACGTACCGTGGGGAACTGATTTACATGAGATCATCGGAGAAGAATGAATTCTGGAGTGCTTTGCTGGAGAAAGCCTACGCCAAGCTGCATGGATCCTACGAAGCGCTGAAGGGTGGTACCACTTGCGAAGCCATGGAGGACTTCACCGGAGGTGTCACAGAAATGTACGATCTGAAAGATCAAACGCCACCGAATCTCTTCCCCATCATCGAAAAGGGATTCCAGAGGAATTCGATGTTTGCCTGCAGTATTGAGGTAATTGACTTGTTTTTCTTGCAATGACAAATTTATCAACTAGGTTTCTATTCCCAACAGCCTGATCCAAACGTTACTGAAGCAGAAACACCAGAAGGCCTTATCCGAGGTCACGCTTATTCAATTACCAAGATACAAATGGTCGATATTGTAACTCCGTCCAGCTCCGGTAAGATCCCTCTGATTCGTCTGCGCAACCCATGGGGTAATGAAGCCGAGTGGAATGGAGCCTGGAGTGATCAATCGCAGGAGTGGCGTTTCATCCCGGATGAGCAGAAGGAGGAGCTCGGTCTGAATTTCGACTCCGATGGTGAGTTCTGGATGTCGTACCGAGATTTCACCCGATACTTTGACCGAATTGAGATTTGTAACTTGAGTCCGGATTCGCTCAGCGATGAAGCGATCAATCGCGGTAAGCTCCGTTGGGAGATGTCCACCTTCGAAGGAGAATGGGCCGTCGGTAGTACGGCTGGAGGTTGCCGTAACTATCTGCAGACGTTCTGGCATAATCCTCAGTACGTAATTCACCTGGAGGATCCGGATGAGGACGATGATGAAGGAAAATGTACGGTTATCATAGCACTGATGCAGAAGAATCGACGGTCCCGACGAAACATGGGCGTGGATTGCTTGACGATCGGTTTCGCCGTATATCGACTGTCGGAACGAGATTTGGGCCAGAAACCGCTGAAGATGAACTTCTTCAAGTACAATGCCTCGGTTGCGCGTTCGCAGGCGTTTATCAATCTCCGTGAAGTGAGCTGTCGGTTTAAGCTGCCGCCCGGTGAATACTTGATTTTGCCGTCGACGTTCGAACCGAATGAGGAAGGTGAATTCCTGATTCGAGTGTTCTCGGAGTGCAAGAACAGCATGGAGGAGAACGACGAGGAGGTCGGAGTTGGAGATATTGATGATAGGGTGAGTACCTGTTGATGTTTTGTTTAATTTACAATACTCATAATGAAGATGCAATAGGGTCCAATGTTACATATGGAAGACGTGAGACGTAGGTATGTTTCATTTCACGAAAAATGCGGTACAATACGTTTGAAGTTGGAAGCTAAGAAACGGTGTAGAAATAATGAATTATGTACCATGCGTGAAGCTAACGATGTACATAGTTGGAGATGCTTAACGTCAAATATAAAACTTAAGGTGGTCATTTCATACGATAGATAAGGAGATGAAAGTATAGAGTTGATAGTTCCGTTAGAGTACGGCAGTGAGTGTGAAAATTGTGTATAGAGAGTAGAAAGCGAGCAGAGATCAATTTTGAGGAAGGCATGAATCGTTTTGATCATCTCCTTTACCAAACTCCCCTGTTGGGGTGAGATGGTGAGGGGTATCTCCCCCCACCACTGGGAAAAGAGATGATCTCCGATTTGCTCACGTACCTTCGATGTGCGGAAACAGTTCTATCGATTGTTTCACACTCAAGACGTCATATGACGAAAGCATCTAGTCGATAGGTTTGTAAATTGCAACGTTTGTTGCCTCTAAACATTTGCTATTCTTGTCTTTCTTATATTTCAAGCTGAACATTACATTAGATCCTAAGTCACATTGCTAGATTCTCTTCGGCGACTTACTCTTTCGTTAATAACTTGAGCACATAACCGTTTCCTTTTGTGTTTGTCGTACTAGATACTACATTGTCTTCTTGTTCTTGGTAGCCTATTGCATCATCACATTATTCTTATAAACCAAACAAATACATGCATTCAATGCGGATTGTATTTAATTGAATGATGAATCAAAAACACAGTTCAAATTCAAAACCAATAGAAAAAGAAAATCTTGTTGACCTGTGCGTTTACTCTATCAGGTCAATCCCGGCGATATCAATCGCGGTGGTGGTAGAGATGTAAGTCTCGTTTAGTTTGCCCGAAAGTTTTAATTCACTATGTTCCCTCCCCTTTTGGCATGTCGTTTAGGCTTTGTTTCCATTCTATTCCCCAAATCATCCAACCGTTGAAAGCATCCTAATGAACTTAATCTTTCAATTGTAGATTGCACCAGACGTCCCAGTCCCGTCGCAACCCTCACCCCAGCGCCAAGCCATGGAACGTCTCTTCCTGGACGTGGCCGGCACCGACGGGGAGGTTGACTGGGTCGAGCTGAAACGCATCCTGGATCATTCGTTCCGTGATGGTGAGTATCTTGGCATTTATAGTCTGGTTTATTTTAAATAAGGTTCTAAATTATGTTACACTCAAATGGGTATTCCCCCATGGGATAATCGTACGTTACGTTTCAAGTTTTCTTTTTCCTTTACTCTTGCACTTACCCCTCGATTGTTAATGTTATTCAAATGCTAGTTCCTTTCTGGTACTGTTGCCCTTTAGTGAACATTCGTTCTAGAATAGTTCATTAGATTTCCCATCTTAGAACGGTTTTCATGATAGATTAGGTGTTGAAGAATCATAACCTACCAAACACAAAGCGAGACTAGGTTAAACCAGGTATACGGACCAATCAAACGCCTAACAGCTTTTTATTTTCACTAATCATTTCGTTTGTCATTTCATTTGCCACTGAAAATTCGTTGTATTTTTGTATGGAAGTCAGATTAACTTAACTAATAATGCAGTCGTCTCTTGCACAACGCTCGTTTCGTGAAACTTTGGGTCATGCGGGTGATCTGTTCGTCCGTCCAGTCTACGTCCAATTGTGCCTCCATGTGCGCGTACACACTTAGATTTTTTCGCCGAGATGGGCACCACCGAGCAGCTCGGCATTTTATTTTGCTGAATCTCAGTGAAAAACTTGCCGAGATTCAGCTAACAAACGGGAATTTTGCCGAGATCTCAGCTAACAAACATATTTTTTGCTGAATTTCCAGCAAAATAAAATGCCGAGCTGCTCAGTGGTGCCCATCTCGGCAAAAAAATCTAAGTGTGTAGATTTTGTTTAGATGATAGTTTAAATTCCCGTCAAAATAGCTGAGCTAGAATCTCATCATGAATTTCCCACTGTTTTTCTCTTTTCCGATGCTAAAACAAAATGTAAAAATTTCATATCCAACCAAACAAACACACACTATTTTCTGAATTATTCTCCATCGCAAAACCATCGAACCCCCCTCGATCCTCATCCAAACATCCTCCCACATGAACTGCAATCAACCACCTTCACTCACACGAAATGATGCACGAAACACGTGAGTAGATCTCCCCAAGTCGTCGTCGGTCAATGGGTTGAACAAATCCTACGCCAACCAGCAGAATGCGGCTAACTACGACGGAGGTGGCCCGGAGGACGCCGGTGGTGGACTGTTGGCCCAGCTGTGTGGCCTCTTCTGCAAGGATACACCGTTTGCGGAAGCCTTCGGAGTGGCCGGAAGCGGACCGGACGCAAACGCCAACGCCAACGGCAACGCCAACATGCAGAGTCAGATCGTTCCCATTCAGCACGGTGAGAGATTTTACTACACATTTGGAGCTAATCTATTTGGACAGTTTGTTTTCAGCTTTCTTATTTTTCAGGACGGAGGGGAATTTGAAACTTTTTATATAAACGATTTTTCGAACTAATTCTCGCCGATGCCCTTGCACTAACTTTAGGTTGCTTCAGCTTGAAGACGAATCGATAGGTTCTGATCTTTTGCCTGTTCCTAATCCCTAAACAATGCTTGTTAAATTCATCTATTCATTATACTTTGTTGTCAAACACATTACCCAAGTAACATTGCAAGTTTTATTAAGGGTTTAAAGTATTCTACATGTCTAAATCATGATCTACAGAACCCTAATAAAACCAAAATTGATACTTGGGTAGTTTCATTTGTTTTCCATCCTTCCTGCTGCTACGTACCAGCTTGTTTGATTATGTTTGATGTGCACGCTTTACGTAATGTAGACACTTTTTTGGTTGTTTCCGTTTCTATAGTCGATATGGAAAGAACTAATAAACTATGATATTATCAAGTTGCAGAATAACAAAACACCGGTGAAGTTCAGAAAAATTGCTTACACATTATTTTTCCACTTAATAACAGTGTCTAATACATCGATTCAGGAGCTTACTTTTGAATATATTCAACTATTTGTCCAATGATTTTATTCTATTTAGCTATATTCGAATGTGTACACTTATTCAACGTAAATTAAAACTTACTCAACCATGTTGTTTAACATTAGGGTTTCCAATAAACTTATATTTGTATAAGGGGCATTGATTTTTAAAAAGCTGTTGGAATGGATTGAGTGATTTAATTTTAGTTCTGTAATAATTGTTAAATTGAAATAATCCGAGGGCGATGGTTTCCTCCTTTCCTCAGCATCTTGAATATTTAGCCATCTCTTGAGTTTTGTATTTGTTCTATGCAAACATCCTTGGAACTCTTGAACACCCTCATTCAACCGGGAAAACCGGGAAATCTGGGCAAAAATTGGATGTGAAAACAACGGGAAAATGCGGGAAAACTCAAATTACACCGGGAAAGATCATATATGAGTGTTGAACTCAGAGGCGTCGCGTGCACTCAAAATAATCGACACGTTAAAACTACGTGAAAAATCACGTAAGCTCTCTCTTTTTCCACTCCCCTCAGTTTTACGTGACTCACGTAGAATGTATGTGATACCCCTTGAATATCGAAGGGATTTCCGATTAAGCACACATACTTAATCAATGCAATTTACGTGATTTTCTCATACACTGTTTCTATGTGCGTTTCACGTAAACCTTATGTGATATCCACATCTGAAAAAAGAGTTCTACATTCAGAGTGGTGCAAAGTATGGTGGCATCGTGATGTGCTTATGTCCGTTATTTTTGTAAAATAATTGCATAATGTAAGTATACATTTTGATTATTTCTAATGATTATCAAACATACATTGGCTGTTTTATTGTTCAATAGAAAGACGGCAAACGATCTGGCAGTGAAAAGGAAACTAGTCCTATCCCATTGCTCGTATCACCAGGATTGTTTGGAATCCACATTGGATATCATTAAAAATGTCTTCTGTTGTGTTTTTTTGGCAATATGTGCATTAATAAATAAAGGAATATTATTAGATTTCTATACAGAATTGATTTTATATTATAAGAAAATCTTTTGTAAACAACTTTAAAAAATGTGATACTGAAATCCACCAGTGAATGCCATCGACATATTCATGTAACTTCTACGTGATAATCCAGTGACGTTTGGGCTCAATAAAATGAGTACCCCTACATGACAATCACGTAGCTCTTACTTGAAAAGTATGATGGAAAATATCTACGTATGTTTTCACGTAGCACTGACGTGAACATTATTTTGAGTGTGTCTCATTTGTTTACCTGTGCACCTAACTTTGTTCGCTATAGTTCACCACCACCATGAATTTGAGGGACATATTCTCAATTTATATATTAATCACTACCTAACGTAACAACTATCATCTTGTGTAAACATAACTTGTATGGTCCTTTTCGCACTAACCGAAGCAGGAAGAATTGCAAAACCTAACTAATTCTCGTTTTTATCACAAGGCTAACTCTTTCGACTGAAGTGTAATGAAGAATATCCGTCAAACACTTCCGAAAACATTGTTTGATACAAAACAGTGTCAAAATCTAGAGAAAATTGCTGTAGTCCCCTGGGTAGCAAACTTGAATTAATCAACTCTTTAAGCCTGGTACGCAGCTGAAAAGTAATGACGTTTTTACGTGCTACGGGATAGGACACGGAATGCTAAAGAAATTTCTTTTAATTAGCATTTCTTGACCCAGTACGCAGTTCAAAAGAAATCGGTAAAGGAAAGATCGATTACATTAGTATCGTGATCGACATGAAGGTGGCGCATTCTGAATGCAATTTCATTTTCCTTGCGGAATAATGGTCTGACCAATTATTCCGTTAGGTAATTTTAACGTTTGATGTAAAAATGATGTTTTGGATGCATTTTAACAACATAAAAATTGATAATTGTTGATTTTAAAATTAGACGACACCTACCTATGAACTCAAAATTTAGCAAAAGACACCTCCCTATAGCTGTCAAATTTACTTTTGGGAATATTCCTCAAAAATTACTTTTCCGTTTTCTTTTCAGCTGCGTACCAGGCTTTAGTCATCAAAACAACACTATCAGAATGAGCCAGGGGAAGCTCATAAGTTTTGACAGGCGCACCTGCGCCACCTTTGGTAATTGGGTTCTTTAATTTTGAAAAATGTATTGTTTTTTTATACATCATCCGATAGAGCTTCGTTCTCTGAGCACAGCGATATTTTTTCGAACCCACACACTTTCATCTCGATTTTTAAATTAAAATTTAAAGCAAAATAACAACTTCACTGTTTGACACTAAACTAACAAACAAACTGACATCTCGCTCCCATGCAAAGTGACACCGAGGGACGTAATAAGGTGATTTTTGCAAATGTAATCGAACTTATTTAAAATAGCTCCAGTGTACGCAAATTGATAACATTTTGGGTTTGGGTTCCATTTTTAATGCAGATTACGAATATGTATTTACCTCAATGCCCTTAAAGAACCCAATTGAGAGATTTACAACTGTAAAGAGAGTGAAAGCGAGCTTTTGCGCTTTCTTTCTCCATTACTCTCTTTGCCTGCAATCAGATATCCAAGTGCACTGCGAGAAATGCACACTTTTGGCACCCATACATCACAAATCTTCTAATTTAAACTCACACATTCAAACCGGTCTGCAAGTATGATACACGTCCAAAGCGTAGCAGACTACTGTTTCCGTGTTGCTACCGTTTGACGCGTGACTGCTGAAAATTTCAATTACAACTAGTGGTGCAAACCGCCAAGTATTGTGGAAAATTTGTGGTTTGTTTCAAGAGGTGATAGAAGATCTACTTGGCTTACATCAGGCATTTGACCATTCACAAACTTGCCACCCGCCACCCAAAAAAGATCGCATTTAGGTGCACTATTTGACGAGTTTTGTCATGGTAGTAATAACGAATTGCTTAGAAATCAATGCATTAGGGATTAGGCAGACCATCCGAACTGAATTTAATCATTTTTGAAGCAATCCATGGTCGAAAATTCAATTGAACCCCACTATAAAATAGTGTATTCATGGTCACATGTGGTCTGGAGTAGAGAAGTACATACAGCTATAATGTGACCATCAAATCTATACAAATCTGAACGCATTTTTTTAAATTATTTACACCTGTGTCGTGCACAGGTTGCACATGTGGACGCGACGCCACTGGTTGAACTGCAAGAAGAAGATCTCGATAGACTATCTTATGACATTCGTGTGGACCATCGTAATGGAGATGAGCTTGATTTTGAGTTAGAAATCCGCGATATCGTATTCAGTCGAAATGTTTTGATGTCAAGGAAACGTAGAGCATTGAGAGAAAAGTTGAAGGTAGCAAAAGAAGATCCAACCGTGGACGAAAGGGTATTTAGAAGGGATCCGTACGAGGAGGTACTGAACTGTGAGATCAAATTGCAGCAAATTGATGCAATTGCAAGCAATACGAAATAGAATTTACCTTCAAGGTGTCAGTCCGCGTTACTTCACTTAGGGAGAAAAGTTAAATTGCTTTGAAAACATTTGGGGTACCTAAATGAATTTTTTTACAATAAGCGCCAACCGACGGTAAATGCCGGATTGGGTTTAGATAAATTGTTTGACGAATCAAGAAATCAGAATGTGACCCCGGGAACAACCTTAGAGTCAACGACCCCTAAAGTGGTTCAGACAACGCAAGCTCAAACTAAAAAACTTCATCTGAATATGATATTCTTGGGTTATTGCTGGAATCTGAAGATCCAGAGGCTGATGATGTCAGAGATGGACTTTTGAAATTAGAACAGGAACTTTATCGTTTGCGGAGATTTCAGGAAGTGTATTACCTACGACAGAATGACTCAGCTCAGAGCTATCTACACGGGCACCATCCCAATGAAATCCTCTCTCAATTCGGGTACGGGAAAACAAGTTCAATTCACAGAGCCAATTTCTTGGGCTCCGTCATCTCAACCTTATACCCAATCTCAAATGGTGTACACTCCTAATGCCAATGATGTAGGAAGAGCAACTCAATCGAGAGAAAACTGGGAAACTCCCGAGGGGATAAGACAGCCTCCAGCAATAAATGCGATAACGAACCCAACCCTTTCATATACAGCTCCTCGGGTGGCATCATCAATTAGCTCGAGTGCTAGCTACAAATAGCCACCGACGGCTGATAACTTATCGTTTTCGAACCACACTCCCATTTATACAACCAGGGCTGAGGCTTGCTTGTCCACGGGTAATCATCCCTCAGGCTATTACCAACCATTAAGGACCGATGACGAGTCACGTGACTGGTTTCCTAGTACGTCGTCCACTTCATATATCCCACATTCCATACCGAATCCGATTCCAGGGATGAATCAGTTCCAAACTCACCATCTGAAGTCAGGCTTGAATCAGATGCCGTTTCCA